TTGGGTCCTGACCACGCCCTCACAGTTTTGTTTCTGGGAACTCACACGAGAACTTCCCGATGAGTCACCCATCCTGAGAATGCTCTCGCGCGAGTTCCCAGAAACAAAACCGTGAGGGTGTGGTCGGGGCCCAAAGCGGACAATATTGTGCTACGGTGGTGGAGTGGGCCCGGGAAGTGATCCGTCCCAGGCCGGGATGTGACAATTTGGTATCAGAGCCTAACCCTGGTCGTGATGTGCCGACGAGGACGTCGAGCCCCTAAGGGGGGTGGATTGTGACATCCCACATCGCCCAGGGGAGTGATCCTTAAATGTATATTCCCATCTCTACCTAGCACGAGGCCTTTTGGGAGCTCACTGATGCAATCTACTCCCTTAGGGGCCTGACGTCCTCGTCGGCACACAAGCGGCCAGGGTTAGGCTTTGATACCAAATGTCACATCCCACATCGCCCAGGGGAGTGATCCTTAAATGTATATTCCCATCCTTACTTAGCACAAGGCCTTTTGGGAGCTCACTGGCTTCGGGTTCCATCAGAACTCCGAAGTTAAGCGAGTAGCGCGCGAGAGCATTCCCAGGATGGGTGACCCATCGGGAAGTTCTCGTGTGAGTTCCCAGAAACAAAACCGTGAGGGCGTGGTCGGGGCCCGAAGCAGACAATATCGTGTTACGGTGGTGGAACGAGCCCGGGAAGTGGTCCGCCTCTGGCCGGGATGTGACAGTTGAGTGAGGTCCCAAAAGACTTCGTGCTAGGTAGAGATGGGAATATACATTTAAGGAAGGATCACTCCCCTGGACGATGTGGGATGTCACATTGATCTCTTAATTTTGTGTTGTGCAAATTTTGTTTGAACTAATTTGGGTTGTGCAGCGGAAGCAAATAATTATTTGAATGAATTAATTTAGCTTGGTTTGTGCATATTTCGTTTGAATTAATGTGGGTTGTAGATATTTCGTTTGAAGCGACCCCCATCTAATTTTGTTTGAAATTAATTTGGGTATTTTTAAAGGAACGAATGTTTGTTGGTGGCTGTCTTTAGATCATAGATTTTTCTTTATTTATTTATTTATAATATTTAAACTTCCTAAGATTTGGATTTATGTTTGGTAGTTTTCTGATTCATGTTTGTATTTTGATTTTTGAATTGCAATTTGCAGGTATGTGAATCGTAAGTTTAGCATTTCAAGGCACATAGGATACGAACTTATGTTGATAAATAGTTAGGTGGGATTAGAGGAGACAATTGGTGAAGGAAATTGGGATTGAATTTGGTTTGCAACTAATCAAGTGGTTCTTAGTGAAATCCTTTTCTTGGTTTGCTTATATTTTTCATTGAAAAGGTTTTTACTATTTTTTTGTGTGAGTTCAATTGTTTAGATTTACCCAAATCATATATTGCAAGGCGGCTTCCTTATAGTTTGTGTTAGGCTAACTACTTGAACTATCTACCAAATCTTTTGCATGTAAATAGTATGTACATACACAGTCAATTATTATCTTTTGTATGAAAATAGTACTTCATACAAAAAAATTATACGATTTTTAATCCCGCAGCATCACGCAGGTATCATTAGCTAGTCTAATTCTAAAGGTATTTGAATCTAAATAAAGTAATGTAGGAAGAAAAATAAATTCAATGGAAAAAGAAAAGGATACGATCGGTATTTTTCTCCCGATCATTATGGAGGAAAGTCGCTAGAAAAGTACCAAATATCCCCGCAATACGTCGCTAACTTCATACCGTCCTCCCTTTTCAATTTTTTGTTTTTTGTTTTTCAGTTTTTATTTTTTATTTTTGTTGATTTTTCTTTTATTTATTTACTATAACAACAAACTATCATATTAATATTCTTCAAAATATATTTTCATGCAATATCTATTATAATTTATATTTAAACACTTGAAATCAACAATTTAAAACCTAAATTTAAAGATATTTTTTTATTTCTCAACTTTAAAAATCAATAAAAAATACTTTGGGAATTAATAAATAGTAGGATCATGTCCAAAAGTGTTGCAATATTTTTCTTAACTCCAATGCAAAATATTTTCTAAAGTTAAAATATCACATCCCGGTCCGGGCCCTCACCACATCCTGGGCTCGACTCCATCGTAGCACGATATTGTCCATTTTGGGCCCTTACCACGCCCTCATGGTTTTGTTTCTGGGAACTCACACGAGAACTTCCCAGTGGGTCACCCATCCTGGGATTGCTCTCACGCGCTACTCGCTTAAATTCGGAGCTCCGATGGAACCCCAAACCAGTGAGCTCCCAAAAGGCCTCGTGCTAGGTAGAGATGAGAGTATACATATAAAGCTTACAGGATCCACTCCCCTGGGCGATGTGGGATGTTACAATCCACCCCCTTTAGGAGCCTGACGTCCTCGTCAGCACACTTCCGACCAGGGATTGGCTATAATACCAAATTATCACATCCCAGCCCCTGTTCCCACCACATCCCAAGCTTGACTCCACCGTAGCACGATATTGTCCGCTTTGGGCCCCGACTACGCCCTCACAATTTTGTTTCTAGGAACTTACACGAAAACTTCCTAGTGGGTCACCCATCTTGGGATTGCTCTCGCGCGCTACTCGATTAACTTCGGAGTTTCGATGGAACCCGAAACCAGTGAGCTCTCAAAAGGCCTCGTGCTAGGTAGAGATGAGAATATACATAGAAGGCTTACAGAATCCACTTTTCTAGGCGATGTGGGATGTTACATAAAAATTTCAATTTTTTCACAAAAGCTGTGAGGTATAACTCACAGTTTTCCAATTGATTTTGAGAACTTTTGTAAGATTCATTATAAGCCAAAATTTGAGTCATCTAGTCGCACCACATGTTTCTAAATTAATTTGGGACATTCCAAAGATTTTCAACACCTACAAATCTCTTTAGGAGTCTCGCTATTAATTTATATTATTTTTCTATTTTGTCAACTTTAAAAATCAATAAAAAATAGTTTAAAGGCCTAATAAATGGTAGGATCATATCAAAGGTCTTGTAACATTTTCGTTAGCTCATACGCAAAATATTTTCCAAAACTAAAAATTTCAATTTTTTTCACAAAAACAGTTTTTTCGATCAATTTTGAGAACTTTTACAAGATTCATTATAAGCTAAAATTTGAGTCATTCTAGTCGCACCACATGTTTTCAAAATTAATTTAGGACATTCTAAAGATTTTGACACCTACAAATCTCGTTGGAGGCCTTGCTATTATTTTATATTATTTTTCTACTTTTTCAACTTTAAAAATCAATAAAAATAGTATTGAGACCTAATAAATGATGGGATCATATCGTAAGGTCTTGCAACATCTTAAATTGTTAAAAAAACTCACGAATGGTGAAAAAACAAATAGATTTAATGATACTATTTTTATGAATTTTCAAAACCAACTAAAAATAGTCACATCAACGTTTTTTGTGCAAACTGCAAATTTTTTATTTTTGCAAAAATATTTTTTGTGAGCATTAAGGAAAAATTTATTAGACATTTCTAAGCAGTTTAAACATTTACTGACCCACAAATGTTTTTTTAATAGAATGTTTAAGTTGAAAACTTAAAAAATAACTGAAAAAATAGTAGTAGGGCACGAAATATTGCCAAAACGAGGGTTTGCCCTCAAGAATATAAATGAAAAGTTTTACATGAATTCTGAAAACCTCACGGTGGGGAAAAGGCGAAAACAAATAGATTTTATAATGAATTTTGTAAGAATTTTAAAAACTAACTAAAAACCATGAGTGTGACATCCCATATTGCCCAGGGGAGTGATCCTTAAATGTATATTCGCATCCCTACCTAACACGAGGCCTTTTGGGAGCTCACTGGCTTCGGGTTTCGTTGGAACTCCGAAGTTAAGCGAGAAAGGGGCTAGAGCAATCCCATGATGGGTGACCCACTGGGAAGTTGCTCGTGAGTTCCCAAAAACAAAACCGTGAGGGAATGGTAAGCCCAAAGCGGACAATATCGTGCTATGGTGGTGGAGCGGGCCTGGGAAGTGATTCGTCCCGGGCCGGGATGTGACAATGAGTGCTAACCCACATTTTTTGAGAAAAATACAAATCTATTAGGATAAATTACATTTTGCTCTCTTAGGTTTGTGTTCAATTGCAATCTCATACTATATCTTTAAACTTTTACTTATTATTTTATTTCAACGTCGTTCATCCGTCTCAAAATGTATTAGTTTCTTCATTATCTTTCGATGTGAACATCGCGGGCCAACAAAATTGATGCACATTAATAAAAGTATATAAAATAATTTGTATTTTTAAAATGGGCCCAGCCTCTCCTTCTCCATCAACCTTTCGACAAGTTTTTCGCCGACATCGATTTTGGTAAATTAAATTAACATTATTTACGGGGATCTTCGTGGTGTTCTTGAGTTGATGAACATTGAAGTTTTTCTTGCTTGCGGATTGAAATAATATGCAAAAATCCTAAAACCATATATTCCCCACCCGCAGGGTCGCAGCCACCCATAAATGCAAGGAATTGAAATGTTTTAAAAATTTTGTATGAGCTTACAAATGAACAAAAAACTGAAGATGAAAAATGTAATTTACCTAATTTTTTATTTTCAGAAAATATTTTTCATAAGCATTAAAAAAAACTTTATAAGATATTTGAAAACGGTTCCATTTATTGAGCTGTACATATATTATTAATAGAATATTTGATCCGAAAAATAAAAAAATAAGTAAAAAAATAGTAATGGGGCCCAAAAAATTACCAACACTAGGGCCAACCTTAAGAATATCAACGAAAAGTCTTACATAAATTCTCAAAACCTCACGTTGAGGCAACATCTTAGTAGAAAAAATATTGAGTTTGTACTCACACGGTCCGAACCCTCCACGTCCCTTCAATAATGATAATTTGAAAAAAAAAAAAATCTACATGGTACGACTTCTTCCGATTTCCTTGCCACGCAAAATAACCTTAAGAGAATTCCAGAGTTTGATCTTCACAAAAATTGTGAGCAGTATTGACAGTCTGTACAAAAAAGATTCATTGACCAAGATGTGGGTGTTGTACACACAAATATCTAAAATTCTCTGTTATACATCATTAAAATGGTTGTGGTTGTGTTTTCAACAACCTCCGAACAAACATTGTAACACTTGTCTTCCAAGTCGTTTTGATCAAGTATACCATTTCTGGCACGCATCCAGACACAAGTTGTTACGATACAAACTCATCTTGCAAAAGAATTTCGTAAATGTCCGTCCTCAGATTCAGTTCCTTATCCCGCATGACTTCTTGGAGATCCGACAGCTCTTTTGCAGATAAGATGGAATTCAATTTCATAAAACCATCAAGCCATAGCTTTTTTGACCTATCATAAATATTTATCCAAGTTAACACGATGCAGGGAATAGACGAACGCAAAAATAAGCATATTGTTTAATTAGATCGCGAAACCTCTTGTCAAGAGATTGTTCAAGTTAGGATACAACTGTATTCATGACCACGTCAAGCGAGCAATATCTTACCATGGGCAGGCATGGATACCCCGGAAGAAGTTTCTCCTAGCTGCTGAAGGATTTTTTGCCATGTTCATCTCATATGCAATGTAGCATCGCCAAAGAACAACTGAGTTATGAAACCTATCATCTCCCAATGCCCTCTCAAATAATCCACGGATCCTATGCTCCGATCCTCCTTTACTCAATTCAAATGACAATGCAAAAAGCCAGACGACCACAGAAGGTTTCCTATGGATCATCACACGCAATGCATATGTTACCACAATTTAAATCATCATATTACAAGATCTCACTTGTAACAAAAAGTGTCATGAGGAAAAAAAAAATCTTACTTGTGACAGTGGTCGTCAAACACCCACCGCAGTTTATTAGGTGTCGTATAAAGATGGCCAACTTTGATGAAATCACTAAATAGTTCAGGGCTGCATGGATATATTTGAAGCCCCTGCAATATTGACTCCCAGCATTTTGATAGACTTGACTGACCATGATGTTTCCAAAGCATCTTCATATAAAAGCTGAACATAAATTCAAGTTGATAACTACGGCTCTTTCTCTCTGCAGTTCACATGCACTCAATATAAGCCCAAACAAGTTTATATTTCATTAAATCATGCATATGTCTCCCCAATATCTGGATTGGTTCATAGAAACTAAAAAGAAAGTTGACATTCTCCGTAATTCGTCCCCCACTTAGATACCTTAACATTTTCATCTCACGTATCAATACAATCAAAGTGATGTTCAGTATCATTACCTAACACATGCGTATAATGAGATTTCATGCCTTCACCAATCTTTTTTTTAATGATCCTTTATTAAATTTAAACCATTGAAACCCTCTCTCTTAACACCTACGCGATTATTCTACATAAAAAGTAAGCTATTCAAAAGACACCCTTTATGCAGGGTAGAGGAACTAAGAATATGACTGACAGGATGAAGTAAAATGCTTGAATCATATAGAATACTAACATGACAAGACGTAAGGAGTTGCACAGGACAAATACCTGGAAGCACCAATGCAAAAGCCTGATCTAGAACTTCAATACCCGCAGCCCATCCAGAGGTTAACTCTTCAAATAAAGCAGCAGAACATATGAGAGCAACAGATTGATCATCTATAACACCTCGCATCAATGCCATTTGTACTGTTCTTATTTTTTCTTTGAAACCTTGGCGTGCTCTCAGTAATTGCAAATTTGATGGGTGAGATTTATACGGACTATACGTAGAACCACTTCCTAAGCAAAATAAAATATGCATTGCACGTAGTGATGATTCACACCCATTGCCATGCTCATTAGCAAGCTCTGTCTCAGCATACCAGAAATATAGAAGAGAAGCATTTGACCGTAATTCCTGCTCAACAGTAAAAGATTAAAATAAATACATTGTGTAAATGCCAACAAACAAAATCCATAACAAACCTGCAGATATAAGGCTGAAAATTATTTAAAGGAATCAATGTTCTAGTCATTCACTGTAAACAAAAAACACCCAAAATCTAACAGCCTCATGAAAAATCATATCTAACAGAGAAAAAAAACTTAAAGAGGTTAATGAAATTGATATCAGACATGAGCTCTAAGAGACGGATAGCTCAAACAAGTTTACAGAAACCATGTGCAGAATAGCACAGACAAAGTCAGCATAAATGCTCAACGTAGGTTCATTGTGATCACTTGTTAGCATATACTTTGAAAATAACAATCTCTTTGATGGTCTCAACATTTGCATGACTAACCTTGTAGCATTAGTGACAAAGCATAAGTTTAGAACAAACTAGGAGTATTATTTGTGCATTTCCATAACAAACAAATATCCGTTGGCCAAAATATACTACGAAACATATTTGCAACAAACATGTAGACCTTACCAAAGGAAGCCCTTCAATAGATGACAATGCCATGTCAAATACTCTTCTTGCATGATCAATATTCCCATGAAAAGCCTCCCTTCTTGCATAAACTCCACATAGCAACACATCCTATTTGTAAAAAGTGGCAAAGAGGACAATATCAGGTATACTATCAAACAATCTGTTAGTCAGTAAAAAAAAGGCTGTCACTTTAGAGCATGTCAGAATGTGCAATAATTTAATTTTAGCGATTCGGCCCACTTCTCACACCTGGTACCTCCACGTATCAATGCATTATGATAAATGTATACAGATTTTTCTTAAACCTTCCACAATCGTGTCCCTCATTGAAAACACGTTAAAGCCTTGTTTTAGAAACAAATAAGGTAGCTCAAAAGTCAAAACCTGGAAAAGTGACTAAATTAGGCCAAACAATTCATAGCTTTAGAATTTCAGATCTGAAACCAAATAGGAGATATGATATGTCTGGCAATTGAGAATCAAATATAAATGTTACCTGACGGTCACTCTTTAAGAGGAACTTTGCCAGAGCTCGGCATGGGGTAACTGAACGGCTGGAAGGATTTAAATTCAAAGCAGATAGCTCTTCAGCAACTAAAGCAGCGTCTTCTAGGACAAAATGACGTGGAAAAGCAGATAAACAGAGCAAGGTAGCATTACGAAGAAATTTCATCATGTCTGTTCTTCTGTAGATGTCATTGGTGGTACCCAAGAGAGATTCCAAGCTGAAATTACTTGAACTGCCTTGTGTTTTGATTAAAAAATCATGAACCTTTCTCAAAGTTTGTAATATCGAATCTGGCAATGCCTCCAAGCTAAGGACCTTCTCGGCCCAAGTGGAGCTGTTTGTAGATATCCTGTGTGGATGAGGGGTAAAAGCATTATATTATTTGTTGATGAAATTTAACTCAAAAATACAAAGAAATGAAAGAAAACTTAAAGAAACAATGCAAGTTTAAACACAACACTAATATTTCCACTTTCATTGTGGAAATCAGATTCCTTTATTTTATATGGACAACGAAAATACGAACATAAATCCCATGCAACAGTGATAAGATTATAGAGATACAATACTAATAGGACCTCACCATTGAGAGCTTTTCCCGCCAAAGAAATCAACGAATTGTAACACTAGAGATAAACGGGCCTCAGATGAGCTCAAAGAAAACAGGTATTCGTTGACATCTTCATACATTATGACTCTCGAAAGGTGATCATCTGTTTCTCCATCAGGTGTACCAACATTATGAGAGACAGCAGCTGCATCATGTTCAACCCCAATATAAACTGTGTAAGAAAATCTACAGGGAAGGGTGCACGCATAATAACTTCAAGCACATTCACATCTTAAAAGAGAGGGGGGGGTTATTCAACGGGAACAGAACAAAGCAAAAAAAAAAAAAAAATATCCAAAGACCAAATGAAAAATACAAGCACCCATGAAAGAACACAACATTCACACAGAGAAGGAGTGAACCTCTTGTACGAACAGGCATCCATTGAACGCAATCTCTTGATAACTCTTCTTCTGACCATTTAATCCAGGTTGAACTGTCTTTAATCTCACCACTAGCACCAACATCAACATCAATCCCTAGCATCTTTAGCAAAGTTTCAGTATCTTCTTCTTGCTTGACATCTTCATCCTCAAGTTCCTCTTGAAACTCCTCAACCACTACATTACTTTCGGACTCCTTTTCGGTCTCTATACTATTTTCCTTATTTTGTGCGAGTGGTTCTGACCAACCTGTCCAGCCACCTTCATCATCATGTGCAGTCTCCTCTCTGATAACCCTTTGCCTATTCTCTTCCTCTTTCTCCAACCATGTAGACCAACCAAGAGCACCTTCTTCTCCAACTCTTGCACCATCACTGTTCCAAAAGTGCTCGAACAGTATCTGTTTACTCTGTTCGGTGAGGAGTAAAGATGGACAAAACAAACTGAATTCAATTTCAGCCTGAAATAGAGCAGTGGCCAACTCTTGATAGCCAGCCTGCCATTCAAACCTACAAAAACTGAGAAATATATCAACCAGACCAAGTTCTAGTTGAACTGTAGCAGCATCTGGAGGATGGTTTTCTGCTTGGCAAACCTGCATCAAATGGACACCACATTTAAACAAAAATAAGTTAACCTTAGAAGCTTGTTAAATTATGGACACTATAGCCTCTTGTAACAGGGTATAGAACAATACAATCTCCAATAAAACAAAATAATCAGAGAATTAAGTAAGTTTAAGAACCTGCCTAATGTGCTTTCTGCAAGCAGAAGCTAGAGCCTGGATTGCATGTGTGTACATTTTTCTCATGTCTGAAACCTTGAACCTGGAGAACTCCCCTTGAATGACGCGCAAAAATTCTCTCCACAACCTGTAACTTCCTGAATGTTGTATAAGTATCTTTTCCCATCTACTAATTAATACATCAGAGTTGTCCCTCCTTTGATAAGCCTTTAGAAGAGGAAGCAACAGTTCTTCATTATCTGGGTTAAGCTCTGCTGCCTTCTCCAGTATGCTAATCTTTTTTTCCAGAATCTGCAAGCGAGCACCTTTCTGGGGTTGCATATCAGCAACCCTGTCTTGGAACTCTGCAAAATCCAACCAAACCTTTTCGTCATGGGGGTGCTCCCTCGTCAGTTTGTTAAACTCACGTGTTTTGCGTAGCACTTCATCTTCCCAAGACTCTTCAACCACTGAAGTTCTCGAGAGTGGATCATCACCATCAACACATTCATCATCAGATGTTTGAGCATCTGTTAAAGGAATAAAATCTCCGGAAACTGTAGCATCAAGGTCTCTGGGGACAAGTATACGAGCACGCTTTAGGTTCTTATGCCGTTCCAAAGCCATGTACTTTGCAGACCAATATCGACCAGCAGATTTTAGTTTCCCATCCAATGCTTCAACATCAGCATCTCTATCCAATGTCGAACCTGTCTTGTTCCACCGGGACAAACCTCGAAAATCAGACCTGGATAGCTCAGCAAGACCATAAGGTTTGTAGCGAGCAATGTCCATTCTGCATTAGAATTACAAATTAGTTCGAGTCAATCAAAAGCTTCAACCTCATCAGTCATAACAAACGAATCCTACAAATTTGGCTCAATTCCTAGCATAAAAAAATTCATTGATTTGCTCAGAAAATACAGATAAACATGAAAATTTTAAACTTTAGGCATAGTAATTAGCAATTTAGCACAATAATTTGACTAACATAGCAATTAGCAATTTAGCTGAAATAGCGATTAGCAAGTTAGCTGAAATAGCAAAATACCTGTACAAACTTCCAAAGGCCAAATTGTCACGGTCCCCATGAGAATCGAGGTAATAATCTTTGGAAGGTTTAGTCTCGGAGTCGGCCCAAACCCGAACACCGGACTTCCTCGACCCATAATCGGCGAACGCTCCGCTTCCTCTCTCGACGGATCTCTCTCTCCTCCTCTTCTTCCTCCTTTTACTCTTCTTCTTCTTCTTCGTCCTCTCTCTCTCGTCGCTCCTATCGGATCCAGAAGAAGACTCCAGCATCTCGTACGGCTGCGCTTGTGACCGCACATCCCCCTGTTCATGTTCTTGCGGCGCGGGCGGTGACGGCGGAGGCTCGGGTTTGAAGTGTGCGGCGACGGCGTCGTTTATGGCGGAGAGTTGGGTGGTGAAGCTGGTATTAGAAAGCCACTGCGGGACGCTCGTGATTTGCTGAGAGGCGGGTACGACGGGGAAGAGTGACGTTTTTGCCGCTGCGGATGCTGCTGCTTCTCCATCCGACGGTTGTCCGTCGTCCTCCATTTTTCTCGACGAACGAAAATATGCAAATTGGCAAAATCCAATCTGAGGTGGAGGGCCACGGCGTCTTCTAGATTCTCCTCCCCCTCATTCCACTGCAATTCGGGCCGACTTTTCTGATCCGGCCCATGTTCAATTTTCTCCATCCGCACATATTTAACTCAAGCCCAATCTACTGACCAGTAATAACAGAAGCCCAACCCGACCATAATCCAATTGCTTTTGAAAAAAGTACTTAAAAACGCAAGAAGATGCTTCTCCATTGTATAACGTTGTCCAAAGCGCTTTTAATCATGATAACTCAGGCCCTACATCTATATGTTACACGTTCATTCTACTCGTTTGATGGACTGGTAGTTCGAGCTAATTGAAGGCAAACTGTAGAGTTTGTGAGGAGATGAAAGCTGCAACTTGTTTGCACTTCTGAATGTTTTAAGAAGATAAACGGCATCCGAAAGTACAAAATGCACGTACAAAGCACAGCGGTTGCTTGGCACGGCTAAAGCAAAATTGGACAGGGAGAGTTTCACAAGATAATTACTAAATTACCTAAAAGAATATCCCGCACTCATGTACAACACGATTTCATGATGATCTTCCCCCTCCCCCGGATCAAACAAAGCGAAGAAAGAAGAACCTAAGAATACAGTCGGTGCGTGCAAAATGACACTCTTGGATTACAGTTAATTTTGGAATACAACTTGGTAAAGGGGGAGGACCGAAAGGTATTTCAAACAAAAACCAAACACACCTTTCAATGCATCGTGCAGCAATGCCAAGGGCCGAAATCTAACATATGTATCACTGGTTCCATTGTGGAATCAAATGCTGGCCCCTTCGTAAAATGGACGCCCAAAACTCCAAAATGCAAGCGCAACTGCGCTATGTTGTCTTTACCAAGAGCATCTTCATACCGTGCAAGTGTTCAAGATGATATGGGTTCATAAGGATATGATAGCCACGGGTGCTTCAGAGCTTCAGATGCAGAAGGGCGCTTCTTCGGGTTTATCTCAAGCAGATGACCAACGAAATCTATGAAGCCTTGGTCCCCCATTGGAAGCCTGTGCCTCAAGGATGTCTTCTTTGGTATCAGGTATTCCAGTCTGTTAGTTTCCTGAACAACAGAGAAGAATAGCACCGTTTACAAAATAAATAATAAATACATGAATACCTGTAAACTAAGGTTACCTGTGTTTGTACAAAAACGAACACAACAAAATTGGAGAAAGCTGATCTGTGAATTAACAAAGATTTATTAAATAAATGGAGTAATTAACTCAAAACCATATGGCTTACCTGATTCCGTTCATAAAGCATGTGATTTTTTGTGAAGTATTTGTACGTATCACGTCCTTTGGCTAGCATGCCTTGATCAACAGGGGAAATGATTCCCATCACCCGTGCAAGTAAAGTTGCAGGGGAATCATTCTGGAAGAGTACCTACACAATATACATACATAGCTTGTACTGAGAAAACTTGTAGCTTATCATGATTTTTTTCTTTTTCAGTATCAATATACAATATACCTACACAATATACATACATAGCTTGTACTGAGAAAACCAGTATCATGATTTTTTTCTTTTTCAGAAAACTTGTAGCTTATCAAATTCGAATCACAATATACATACATAGCTTGTACTGAGAAAGATTTCTGTTCAGTATATTATCTGTACTTTATCCTATGTACAGCTGAATCTCTGAAGGAAGAACCAAGTAAGATATACTGACACAATGATATAACTCCATTTCCTGCCTACATGTCAGGAGAATCTATATTCGGTGTATTGCAAAATGATGACTCAAACCATATTGAGCTGTGATCAAAATTCGGGTATAAACTTCATATTTCTTTAGTCTGACTTTGCAGGCACCAAACCGTTCATAAGACGACAGGAATTTATAGCAACGTCATTGAATAAACAAGTCCGCATAACAATATATAAAAAACACACTTGTTTTGTTTTGTCATTTATCAAAACACAATCTCATGAATTAGTGTTAAGTAGTTCATCTCCGCATCCACTAGAACGGATTTATGGATGAATCACAGATACTTATAAGGGGCAATAATATAGAACAATAATAGTCACAACTTCACATACACACTACACAGACAGACAAACCCGTAATGTCACTCGTAATAAACCAGTATTCTTACAGAAGCTGAGATTTACTTCAACCAGCAGTCAGGTTAGAGCTTAACATTAACAGATCTCAAATACCAGATAATTAAACGAAGTCAATATCTAGTAACCATGTTTGCTATAACTTAACGAAACAGTTACAATCACATGCTCTAATCAATAATCCAAACATTTGTATTAGGAAAATAAAATCTAACAATATGTATACATGGATGCATAGCACTTACATTGCCAGTGCAAAGTTCGGCCAAGATGCAGCCAAGCGACCATATATCTATCTTCTTATCATATGGAAGTCCCAAGATAACCTCAGGAGCACGATAGGATCTGGACTGAACGTAGGAGCACAGATGATCCGTCTCAAAGCAGCTACTTCCAAGATCAATGACTTTGACCTCACATCTACTGTAGCTTTTGACCAGTATATTCTCAGGCTTCAAGTCACAGTGTATCATGCCAAGGCCATGCAAAAACTGAAGCGCCTCTAGACACTGAATCGTAATTGACTGCATAAAAATTCAATAAACCTTAAACACCAGCATAAAAAAACTAAACGGTTGTCAAATAGAAAATGGAACTAAACAAACCTGCAGTCGTGGCATGGTGAAGTAGACCTCCCCTCCTGACTCCCGATTAAATTTATGAAATTCATACAAGTTTGCTTTGAGAAGTTCACATACTATTAACAAATGTTCCTACAACATAAAGTCAAATTCTAACTAAATAAAATTCATTGAGACAAATATGTAATTTATAAATGCACAAACAAGATTAATGCAGGAGGCGCAAGTTGGGAATATAAATGACTGTAAAAACCTGCCCCCAAAGGAATCTAAATCTTGACATGACTAACCACAGAATAGATACACAAAGATTTCAAGTTTTTGCCTTCCTATGCTAACATAAGGGCACTGCCATGAACATTATGAGTCCCAGGTACACAAGACAATGAAAGACGAGTCACACAAATCTAGCAAATAAATGCACACATATGAAACAATTATCTCTCAAAGTCTTATAAAAGCGACCAAATAAGATAACCGCTCTCCGGGGTGATATCGACTGGTTGAAAGGTTTGAAAGAGAACGTTGTTAAAGTAAATATCAAATTGTGCATTTCCTTACTCGATAGTAGAAGTAATCGTACAATCGAAGAATGTGATACTTGTCACCAGGATCATGCTTGTTGACGTATTTGAGAAGCTTTATCTCATCAAGGCTCTGATCAAAGAAGTCTTTGTTGTTCTTTATAATTTTCACACACACATCCATGCCTGTATGTAGATCATGAGCTTGTATAGCTTTGCTGAATGCAGCTGATCCAAGATATTCAGTAACATGATAGCGGCCAGCTAATACAGAATTCAAAACAACTTGAAAATTTTTGTCCTCCTCAAAGCCAGTTCTGTGGAACAAAAACATGGGGTTCAAATTAGAAGAAAGTTAAGAAGCCAATGATAAAAAAATAGCAATGAAGAGCTTCAAAGTAGCGAGAAACATCAGCAAAAGCAAAAAGACAAAAGTCCATCACAAGAGTACACGACTCAACAGAAGAAATCACACAATAAAGCTGTTTCAAGTTTAGGGGGATTGTGTTGTCATGATGCTGTTCATGTTATACGGAAAAAAAATAAAGGAAACAACGAGAGAGATAGACAGATAGATAGAGGGGAGTAATTAAGGTATTATTCTTCTTTCTTGAAGAAAACAAGGTCTAACACTACAGTTTCAAAAGTTTCCAGAGCATTTTAAACCATGATCAATTAGTTTATATTTGAGATTGGTGAATAGGCAAGGACGTGCCTGTTTTTCCTGTGCACAATCTTGAGGTTGAAGGTCTCAAACTCTTCCTCTTGAGCCTTTATTTGCCTTACTTGTTCTTGCACGGCAGCTGCCTCTTCATCCTCAAGTAATGCCCCCGTATCTTCTTCCCTAACAGCAGCAATTTTCTCATCTTCTTCTTGCTTGGCATGCTCTCTTTCAGCATAAGCATAATTAGAGAGCGTTGAGGGAGTAGAGTTTGTGGATCTAACAGCATTAGCATTATTTTCATCCCTAGAACTCATTCTAGGTGAGGACTCATTACTTTTTTCCCTCCATGAAGCAAGCATGTTATCATCATCAGGTTCTTCAGTGACAACAGCATTGAAGTTGTTTGACCATAACGGTTTACTAGAGCTTGCCTGCACCAATTGTCCATCTCTCAGTGGTGGTGGGAATGAAAATCCCCCTTCTGAATGATTTTTCTTCTGTCTAAATACACCATTATCATTCTCAACTATATATTTATTTGCCTCATGTTTACTAGTTTTCTTCTTGTCCCTCTCAAGTCTATCAATACGTTTCTTATCTGAGTCCTGATTATTCTTCCGTGGCCCACCAATTCCTACATCATGGTCCCGAAAGTATTCTAGATCCCCTTCACTACTGCCACCAATCAAACTTTCCCGTACTTCGCTGCCGAAATCAGCAGCATCGCTATTGATTCCCACACCTATTGATCTTACTGAACCAAGCTGGTCGTCATCCACACAAACCTCCTCCAAACATGGCCTTCCACTCTCATTCACAACTTTCCCATTCCCTAACATGATGAGTTCATTCGTCTGAGTGACAAAGCCCTGCCAGACAGGTTCTGAACGCATTAAATTAAGCTCCTCTTCATCCATCAATTGTCCATCATATTGAGCTATTAAACCATTATCATCAGTTCTCCCATACAATTCAGTCACTGATAATCCTATAGGATCATCTGAACTCATAATTGGTTCAACATTTTTCGCTTGGAAGCACCGCTCACCAGAGAAATAAGAATCCTCCTCAGCAAAAGATTGATCATCATCCTCATCTTTGGTTGGACCCCTTTCCTGTGGATCTGGAACACTGCCATGACCTGTTCCTTTTTCATTGTCACTAGGGTAATCAATTTCATGAGCCAAAAACCACGCCTCATCTTCAATCGGTTGTCTCATGTATCCGACATCATCATCATCATCATATTCATCAGAGTCCCAATATGGGTAGTCAATCGATTCACCACCAACAGTAGCAAAACCAGAAACCAGATCAGATGCATCCTCTGCAATCCCCTGACTTACAGACAGCCAACTGCCTCCTACAGGCCTTTTTCCACCTGAACCATAATCTTTAAAGAAGAAATTAGAGACTAGACATATCAAAACAACCAAGATAACGTGACAAGAAAATTGACTCTGACCAACTTCAGAAATCCAATATTT